ATAAAAACATCCATACCATGGCATTCATGATCTCAGTGATTCATGGGACATGGTACTGTATGAAACATAAATATTCACTCAAAGGTTTGATTTTCGCTCAACCTTTTCACCACCAGTTCCCTCTTTTCATTACAAATTCACAAAATAGTCCAGTTTATTTTTACACTTTCCTTCAGAACTGGGACAAAAATAGTAAAAACTGAAAATTTACTAAAATTTTGTCAGTTGGCTCCAATATAAGATCAAAGAAAGCTTAGAAAGAACTCCCATGTGCTGAGAGTATTGGAGACACATTAAATATAATTCGAAATTACTTAGCTGAAAACTAATTATGCAAATCAGAAAATTAATATGACCAGATTTGAGTGTAAAACTAATGAGGTCTGCGCAATGTAACAGAAAATCTATGTTTCCAAGTTTAATTGAAATGTGATTAGAACCAAAAAATTATGAATTATTATGCTAATTAGGGAATTAATATGAACAGATTTTTACCCCAAACTAATTAGGTTTGTACATTGTCCTAGAGCATCTTTGTACTAAGTTTCATTGAAATGGAATAATTAGTACTTTAGATATCAGTGTGAAAGCTTAAAATTGGTTAATTATGCAAATTAGGTAATTAATATGTACAGATTTTAACCCACAATTATCCAGGTCTGTCTATTGTCCTACAGCATCCATGTACATTCATTGATATGTGATGTTTAGTACCTGAGATATCAGTGTGAAAGTTGGTTAATTTTGCAAATTAGGTGATTAATATGCACAAATATTTACCGGAAACTAATTGGGTCTGCATAATTCTAGATTCATTGAAATGCGAAGATTAGTACATGAGATACCCGTGGAAAAGCTGAAAATTAACTAATTATGCAAATTAGGTGATTAATATGCACAAATATTTATCGGAAACAATCAATCTCTGCATAGTCCTTGAGTATGTAAGTACCAAGTTTCATTGAAATGTAATGCTCACTACTTACATGTATATCAAATGCTGAAAATTAATTAATTATTCAAATTAGGTAATTAATATGTACTGATATTACCATAAAAACTATCAGGTCTGTACAGTGTCATATGACATCTACATGTATGTACCAAGTTTCATTGAAATGTGATGATTAGTACTTATATCAAATGCTGAAAATTAATTAATTATGCAAATTAGGTAATTAATATGTACTGATATTACCATAAAAACTATCAGGTCTGTGCAGTGTCATATGACATCTATGTACCAAGTTTCATTGAAATGTGATGATTAGTACTTGAGATATCAGTGGAAAAAACGAAAATTGACTAATCATTATGCAAATTAGGTAATTAGTATCCACGGATTATTACCAAAAACTAATCAAAACCTAGCATTAGTTCAGAGCATGTATGTACAAAGTTTCATCAAAATCCAATGAGTGGTTGTTTAGATATCAGTGGAACAATCATGGAACACCTAAAAATCAGCTAATTATCATGCAAATTAGGTAATTAATATGTACGGATTTTTACCAAAAACTAATCAAATCTGCGCACATGTTCAGAGCATCTATGTACCAAGTTTCATCAAAATCCAATGAGTGGTTGTTTAGATATCAGTGGAACAGTCATAGAACAGCTAAAAATCAGCTAATTATCATGCAAATTAGGTAATTAACGAGCATGGATTTTTACCAAAACCTAATCAAATCTGCGCATTGGCCCAGAGCATCTATGCACCAAGTTTCATCAAAAACCGATGTATGGTTCTTGAGATAGCAGTGGAACAGTCGGACACACATACACACATACACACAGACACACTAACTGCAAAGACTCCCATTATGTGCTTTGCACATGGGAGTCAAAAAAAATGCAGACAAATTTTGAATAGATTGACTTCACTACATGAAACCAAATGAATATGCAAACACTAGAATGCTTTGTTTTCTTCACAAACCAGTGAAGTTAAAAACTAGTGAACAACTCTGCAACATCAAATCTGTTGAAATTATACCTAGTTGAAACTTTCCTTCTACAGTATTATACATGTATAAACTTTACTGGCACAGATATTACTTTGAATATGCTAATGAATATTAGTTAGTTATAAGATTCTCAGTGTACTGGCAAAATTACATGAGGAAAATTTGATACATGTGTATCATCGCTGAAAACTTCTAACTGATAACAAAATTTGGCTTTTTAGATTCTTCAAAACATTGTCTGTTTTCGTTATTTTTTTTTAAATTGAAGTGCAATTAAAATACACATGTACATGTACTACAAATAATGGCATCATTCCAAAGGACATACCTGCACTTTATGCAATTTTTTTTTTTTAATGCTAATTTATTCATGACGTGGCAGTTTCTTTGCTCATGAATATTCATTAATTTGTAATTCTTAAAAGAGCGATATTTTATTTTGGGGGCAAGAGTTAGAAAGGAGGAATTAGCAATCCTTAGGGGGTCAATACAAAAGAAGAAACCATTTAGAGAACAGCAATGATCCTATGTCTGTTGGTGTGCATGTGACTTGCAGCTGTTCACTCTGGTAGTACTTCAACAGCTTTGACTGGTTTCCATGTGTTCCATGTATTCTTGTGTTCTGTTATTGAGCTGACTTGAGTACTTGATATACTGAATCTATAAGCTGTATATGTCTTTAACATCTTTCATATCTTTTGTAGGAGTGTCCAGTCTGTGATTTGAACTTGCAATCTTTGAGTTTCCAGAGCACTGTCTTGTCCACTGTACCATGAGGGTCTTCATAGAAGTGATAGGGTTTAAGGTAGCGGGATAGTTTTTTGGCATGAAAAATGTAAACATCTATAATCGGAATAAAATTTACAAGAAACCATACAATCTATATATGTTTGAAAAGCCCTTGACTTGTACTTTTCTATTATTAATATTTTGTGAACATTCCATTTATTGGAAAACTGTTAGCAATACATGTACCATTTAAAAATTGCAAACCTGAGGATTTGAACCTGCGATATCTTACATTGTCTCAACAAATATTTGATACTTATTTTGGTGTAAACAACTAACATTTAATTAATTTCTTTAATTAAAGTTGTTAAATTGAGAGAACAAATGTGTGGACAAATATTTGATACTTATTTTGGTGTAAACAACTCACATTTAATTAATTTCTTTAATTAAAGTTGTTAAATTGGGAGAACAAATGTGTGGACAAATATTTGATACTTATTTTGGTGTAAACAACTCACATTTAATTAATTTCTACCATTAAAGTTGTTAAATTGAGAGAACAAATATTTAATACTTATTTTGGTGTAAACAACTCGCGTTTGATTAATTCCCACAATTACAAGTTGTTAAATTGAGAGAATAAATGTGCAGACAAATATTTTAGACTTATTTTGGTGTAGACAACTCTCGTTTATTTATTTTACACCATTACAAGTTGTTAAATTGAGAGACTGAATGTATGGACAAATATTGAGACTTATTTTGGTGTAGACAACTCTTGTTTGTTTATTTTACACCATTACAAGTTGTTAAATTGAGAGACTAAATGTATGGACAAATATTGAGACTTATTTTGCTGTACAAAAGTAGTGTTTAATTAACTTCAACCATTACAAGTTATTAAATAGAGAGAATAAATGTCTCTACAAATATTTAACACTTATTTTGGTGTAAACAAGTTGCGTTTAATTAACTTCCACCATTACAAGTTGTTAAATTGTGAAAAAAAATGTGTGGACAAATACTTGAAACTTATTTTGGTGTAAACAACTCTTGTTTAATTATTTTCCACCACAAGTTGTTGAATTGAGAGAACAAATGTGTTATCAAATATTGGATAGTTATTTTGGTGTAAACAACTCGCGTTTGATTAATTCCCACAATTACAAGTTGTTAAATTGAGAGAATAAATGTGTGAACAAATATTTGAGACTTATTTTGGTGTAGACAACTCTTGTTTATTTATTTTACACCATTACAAGTTGTTAAATTGAGAGACTAAATGTATGGACAAATATTGAGACTTATTTTGCTGTACAAAAGTCGTGTTTAATTAACTTCAACCATTACAAGTTATTAAATATGTTATGTTCACACAGCAGCATTCTATCGAAGCCGAACTACTGCTCCTCCCACTGATTAACAGGAGATTATCTCCATACGGTCGAGAGTCGAACGAGAACCAAACGGAACAGTGCCCTCGAATAATGAGTATGAAAAAACTGTACTGATATCGATTTTGGTGTTGTGTTTGTGTTGTTTATTTACATGGCACGATGCCGATGGGCTGGGAGAAAAAAAAAAGTCGCTGGTCTGAGCATCGAGGTAGAAAAGACAATGCACAAGTGTTATTATTTAGGTATACAATTGTATTACTAGTCTGAGGGTACATGTACTAGTACCTCGAATAAACAGGAAACACGGCAGCTGAAATGTGTTGCAACCTATTATTTATTGTCATGCAAAATTACCATTTTGTAATTATTCAACTGTTAGTAATAGAGCCTCTATCCTCTCTATATATCATAGAGGGACTGCGGAAGAATCTGAACCTACTAGATCGTTCTTATGATTTTTTCTTTGGTGTCTTTAAAAAGTTTCCGTTCAGTCGTTCTTTCAAGTTTTTGTTGCATAATGTCGTACGCCATTTTTCCCGTTTCCCGTCGAGCTATCAATCTATCGCAGTGGCAGTAATTCTTTGCTCTGCCAAGTGTATATCAGGGTGCGTACCTCTTCTTTAAGCCGGAAATTGCGTGAAATTACTAAATATGTTGTCTCTGCCATAATTGAAATGATAGGTTACTTGAAGGCGACGATTGAGGGCGTGATTTCGGCTCCGATAGTTGGGCCCTGATGCGTTTACACGATCGGAGCCATGTCGGGACTCAACCCTATCAGAGTTCAACCCCGAGGGTTTAGTGGAGCCGAACTTGGCTCGAGCCGAACGCGTTCACACGGCCATTTTTGCTGGCTCAAGCTGGCTCAAGCCATAGGGCTCCGATAAAATGCTGTCGTGTGAACGTAGCAATAGAGAGAATAAATGTCTACAAATATTTAACACTTATTTTGTTGTAAAGAGGTCGCGTTTATTAATTAACTTTCACCATTACAAGTTGTTAAATTGTGAAAAAAAATGTGTGGACAAATATTTGAAACTTATTTTGGTGTAAACAACTCTCGTTTAATTATTTTCCACCACAAGTTGTTGAATTGAGAGAACAAATGTGTTATCAAATATTGGATAGTTATTTTGGTGTAAACAACTCTCGATCAATTAATTTCCACCTATAAAACGTATTAAATTGAGAGAACAAATGTGTGGACAAATATTTGATACATATTTTTCAGAGGGTCTAGATTTTAGAGTGGTGTTCAATACTACTTCAATGTCTCAATCAGTTAAACAGGAAAGCCAAAACGATTGCTTCGGTTCAGGTGAATATGTATCTAGTAGGATTCAACCCTTTGGCATTTGTATTAGGTGGTTTTTCATTTCCCATGTTTGCCACGTCATAATATGCAACTACTTCCCCGTTTTATTGTGATTTTGTGAGTGTTTAATGATGTCAAAGAGGGACTGTGATGATGTCTTCATCTACTGTCACCCATGACCTAGTTTCAACCACATGGCCATGTTGCAGTGCGTGACCCCACTGAATATATGATTGTTCAGTTCAACTGTTAAGCTAGGATTTATTACCTGTTATTATCATTATATTGTCACAGGATTTGTTCTACCTTATTTGTAATGCCTTAAGTATGTTTATATTTATTGTATATACCAAGCAAACAACCCTGATTGAAAGTCATGTATTTTGTGATGTCACTAATTCGTGTGTAGGTACAGCTTCTGGAATTGTGTCCCCAATAAAAAACCCTAATCCAAAATACACTGTAATCACATAGGATTCAATCAAGCTTTACAAATATTAACTAACATGGCAGTATTTTATCCTAGCTGAACAAGAGAAAACTGTCGATTGTTTATACGATTTGGGTTGAACAAGAATAGATTTTACCAATGCCGAACTTGATTTGCACTTCATTTGAGACACAATGATTTTTGCTGGCCTGAGCCATTGGGCTCTGAGAAAATGCTTTCATGTAAACAAGGTATACATGTACATGTATGTACTGCCAAAAGAATAATATAAGAGATAAAGGATTTGAGGAGACAAAGCTGACAAAATTTCATAAGTGTACAATATCCATGCATTACCCATATAATTAAAAAAGACAAGCATTGTGTCCCACAAAGACAATTCTACTGTACCAGGTAGTCATCAATGTGTTAATTATTTTCTACCACCGCTCTCTTCATCAAAACTAACAAAGATAAACTAATACTAGACAACTCAAAAAAACAATACTTACCACAAAAACCAACTCAAACTCGTTATCTAATTTATATTTGAGTGTGACTGCATCATGAGTGTATGTATTGCTACCAGCCCGTTCCTATACAAGACAAAAAAACATATATTTCTATCAAAATTGTAATATGCGAACTCTCCCATGAGTTACAACATAGTAAAAAAAAACATTATTTTTGATAAACATTTCTCGACACATTTTTAGAGTTTCAAACAACTACTGTGAAATACTTAATTTTTGCTGAAAACTTATTTTGGTGTTTCGTATGGAAATTATTTTCACTGATATTTGATGAGTTGAATGTAAAATATAGGAAAAATGGTACTAGTATATTCGCTGAATTTTATTTATACTGAATCATTCCTTCATTGAAAATATTGAAATTAATTCCAAGCGAAAATAAAGTATCTTACAGTATTCAATATTTTGTACTCTCCCATGATACAAACACTTGCAACTTCCATAGGTAATCTTGTGTTTCCAGTCAATGATATATATAGTTATATAGAAACTAAAAAAATATATAGTTACTGTAAACCGCTTTAATTTTTCATAACAAATTTTCATAAAAATCTTGAAAGTCGCAGACAACATGACTCTCAGGTCCTATTACAAAGAATTTCAGTGACTTTTACAAAATTCAGTCTTCACAATTTCCATAAAATCATCAAGAGAATTCTTTGCAGCAAGAATTAAATGGTTTACAATAATACTTGAAGCTGGAGCTACATGTTATAACAGTGTTTTTGAATTTCAGCACAAAAATCCATTGACGCAATCAACCACCATGTTTACTGTATTAAAGTTAGCGAATGGTGTATTCGGTCATAACAGGGATGTTGTTGAAAAAGTAAAAATATCAACAATGTGGTAATAGCTTGCACAACAGAGACTACAAGTTTCACCCCGAGTAGAAATTGAATTGAAATATGTATTTATCAATTAGTGTAATTTTACTACTTTGGCCAATTTTAAAGATAACAACAGTACATACTGGTAAATGTAGACGAAATAATAGCCAGAGATAAATATATCAGAGTTATCAGTTGTGTTTCACATACTAGTAGAGTATATGATTGCTGATGGTCATTTTCATTCGGTGTACATTGCCGGTGGACAAAATATTGCGATTTACAGCAAAATACGATCAAGAATAAGCCAGATAAACAACAGAAAATTAAAAATCAGTTGTCTTCCGCACAAGTGAGTGACAGAACCGCAGCTACCGGAGTTTGTGGTCAACAGCGAATGAACTTAAATTTAGGAACAAGTTTCACATTTTAGTGTCTTTCACAATGAGTGAACAGTCACTTCCACCGACTTTCACACGACTAACTTTAGAACAGTGTATTTATATTTACAGAAAAATGCCTTGGGATGGATGTGATCATCTATACGTAAATAATAATAACATGGTGTGTGCCATATGGAATGAAGTCATTGCGAAATAGATAATTATAAATTTGTATACTCAAATCTTACCTGCAAAATCACACTTTTGATTAAAGCATTGACGGAGGGAGCAAGTGCTTGACATGTTCCCTGAAAATACCACAACACTATCCCTCCTTTGCTAAAAATTGTAAATAAATCCAACATTTTTTTGGTGATTTTACTTTCCTATCGACCCAATCGCTTTAAAAATAACCCTAAATACGCATGTTCGGTGACCCTTGATACTATCGCCGTGACCTTTGACATGAAATAGTTGTTGACGACAATGTCGACGAATTCACAGATATTTCGAAGTAACTTAGTTGTTTTGAAGCAAAAATGCGTCAATATAATCAAGTAAATAATAAAACAACGATATTACATGTGGTAATCGAAAGTTTATCTCAAAATTGTGCAAAATCACCTGATCACCGGAGTGCACGTGATAGAGGGATTTCCAGTCATGTGATTGGTTAAAGCCAGCTGAAAAATGACGTCAAAAGATAATTATCACGTGATTTTGCCATAAAGAACCGCCTATGAATACTGTTTTCCTTGTATGCATTCGCCATCTTTCTGTCCTAAAAATGTAGTTCGTAGAAAAAAATGAATTTTCTCCTAAAAGATGAATTGTTTCAAGCTGACTTTCAAATGATTTTGTTATATGAAGTTATTTTGAATAAATATATGAACTTGGTAGAGTATATCTAGATTGATTTTTTTGTAGGCGTATGAACAATTCCCGGGTTTATCAAAGTGCGCTACGTTCGCTGAAAATTCGCTGTGGTTTTTGTCACATGTTCATTTCTGCTCTCACATGACCATCTTGTTTGGCCCCGTGATCAAACTTGTCTTCGCTTCCTGAAACTTTTAAAGAACTTCTGCGACCACATGGATATGCTAGATCAGGCTCTCGACCCCAGGTATGCACCTTTTATTTGAGAAAAACGGATTGTTTTTCTGTGAAACGCGAGATGAAATGTACGGTTAATCGTGTTGTGACGCGGTCATGGAGAGCGTCGCTTCTGTTTTTTTGGGTCAAGCTTTTCCGCTTGCTTTTTAAGGTTTATGCTCAACATGTATGTGCATTGTTATCAATATTAATGAAAGTCAGTAGTAGGCTCTGCAAACAATCTTTTCATTTTTATAGTATGACTATTTTCATTTTTGCGATAAGTTGAGAATTGCTGCTTTTTCAGTCATGTTTGATAGGCGCTGTAAATTTGATAAAAACAATTCGGGGGATAGTGCGAAATTTTGATTGATTTCACTTTTAAAATATATGTTTTGACGTCTGCTACTTGTGCAGATTGCGGTGCATTGTGCGGTTTGTAATTTTATAATTTATGTTATCAGTTAACATAATTTTCTATTGTTTCTAGCTCAAGATTTTCCAATAATCATTTTGTCATTAATAAAAATAAAAAATAAATTGACTATCATTTTCGTTAAACTTGGGTTAATGGGATATTCATGATATTTTCTTTTATATATACATGTATACTATTTTTTCTATATGTATATGAACAGAAATTATTATTAACCTAGATTTTGAGATATTGAATGACCTTTGCTTCACTGTAAATTATTCCTAATATTTTATTTTGTCAGATATTAATATGATTTTGAAATATCAATTTGACTTATCAATTTGAAAAGGAATATTCTTCATTTGTGGAACCATAAATGTTTCTCCTTTTCTCCCATATGAATGGCATCTGTGCTGCTTATAATTAGGTCTTCAATGAACTAGAAAAATATTATTTTTGGAGTGGTTGAATTATTAGATTGTTTTTTACTCAGTCTAAGTGGTAACTTGATTGTTGAATTAACGATAGCAATGGAAGACAACACAAAAAGGCACTACTTAATTTTTTTTATCTAGAAGAAACACTGAAAGGTGGATCCTATGGCTAATTTGCTAATGAGGGTATTATTTAACCATTTAACCACCAGTTCCCTCTTTTTATCACAAATTCACAAAATAGTCTCATTTTCTTCAGAAGATAAGGATAAAAAAAGACCAAAATTTGGCGTAAAATTTTGGCCAAAAATTTTGGCCAAAATTTGGCGTAAAAACTAAAAATTGTCTTAAATTTTGTCTGTTGGCTCCAAAATTAGGGTTTCATAATATTGAAGAATACTAGTATAAGAAAATAAATACTAAAGTTATTTAGAAGTAATGACCCTTAGTATGATAGGGGTTATACTCTGTTAAACTCTACTGCTAATAATATTGTCCTTGACCGCATGCCTGAGGTCAAAGTCATCAAGACCTCCATGACATGTTAGTGGGCTGTAATAGCCTAGGTAAATTGTGAGCAAAACTTGAAGATTGTTAGTCAGAATATCAGATAAAAAAATCATTGTTAGGAATGGTAAGCAACATTTTCACTTGAAACAGATAAGGGATCCCACTTTAAACTGAATGGGGTGGGCAGAAGAGTTATTTACTATTTAGTATTTATAAATAAAAAATAATGAGTTCTTCAAAACGTTGTGTTGAAATACTTATACATGTACCACCGTATTAAAAAAATTAGTGCAATAAAAAAGTTCTTGATAAATGTGCTCGTTAAAAGATTCCGCATCCATTTCAAATGATCAACCCTTAATCTGTTTCTAGAGAAAAATTTTGCTCATTGTTTACAACAAGGATTCTTTATCTGATTTGGTGAGAAAAATAATTATCCAATCTCTCTTATTAACTGAGACTGGAAATCATTGTGGTACAATACATGTTTTGTCAAATATTTTTTTATCTTGTGTCAGATATTGATAACTAAATCTTGTGAATAAGGATGAATTATTTAAGGATGTTCATTGCATGTTTTAGTTTCTAATCCTTTTCTGAAAATAATTTCATTTTGATTTCTAATAAAAATGTTTTTAATAGTGGCATATATTCTCATTCATTATTATGAGGGCACCAAATTTCTAAAAAATGTCTTTGAAACCTTAAAGGAAATATTTGAATAAATTTTAAAGAGCACAAAGGCATCTACCGGTAAGTAGTAAAACAGTGCATTTTGAGCCTGCCAAAAGTTTGTGTTTTTGAATTAGAAAAGAATTTTTGAATAGCGAAAATGTGATAAATTGTTCATCCTATAATTACTACCAGTAGGCTTCATTCTGTGATTGAATATTTTATTTCTTTTATTCTAAAAAGCTGTCAGAGTTGCAAAACCTATGTGTACTGAACTAATACTAGTAAATGACGGAACCATGCAGTGTATTTACTTGCTTTATAAAAAATACTAGCTACTACTCAACTGATGCTGGTAGGGTAGGTAGGTAGCATGTTTGTCTATAAACTTTGTGAAATAAATAAATAAACCTGAACAGTTACTGTCTATTGACTAGGTGTTGCGGTGATTAGTGTGAAATAATTAACAGAGTTTAGCTTTCATCATGAGGGGTTTCGCATGACGTAATTGGTCCTTTTCCGACCTCATTAACATACCTGAATAATTCATCATGTAGAAAAAACACACAAATTTCAGCATTTAAAGGAGAACTAAATAGAGCCTATTTTGGTGTTTGTATTTATCAAGTTATGTATATTGATTATAAATTTGAAAAAAAAAATTAAAAAAAATGATTATCTTCAGAGTTATGATGATTTAAATATGAGAAACCATAAACCTGCGAAGGACTTCTGCTTGTGCCATCTTGCCATAAAAAACGCCCTCATGAGGTATAAACAGGTAAGGTAACAAAGCATGATGACAAAATAGTATCTGATTAAATATAAGCAACTTAGGGAGCCATAGTTGGCTGGACTAGTGAATTGACTTCTAGTCTAGGCTGTTTTGACTTTTACGTTAATGTTATTTACAAGCGTATCAACATACAAACGTTATGGATGTGCGATTGATCGAGACAGGCATTTTGTTTTGTTTTTTGTCTAACTGTCTAATAAATTTTTGTTTTGGGGTTAAACACTGTAACCATCTTGCAAACAACGAAAAATTATTCGTTCACCACGCCGGGCTCAGGAAAATAATACTTATTTTTGAAAAAAATGCGTCATTGATTTGAACGACACTTACAATGAAGAAACAAACATGTTCATAAAAAAACACACACATTTTATTACAATACGATTTACATACCGTCTGAATTTACGGTGTAATAATAGGTAGGGTCTGTGAGGAAACAGTGGATGAAGGCATTTATCATTATCTTCGTTTTGGTATGTTTTCGATCATACGCAAACTCTCGACGCAAAGCAATTTTCTACCATGAGGTTTTTCAGCACGATTTGACCTGGAACAACTTCCTTTGACATAACAGGTCATGTCTTTCATTAACCAATCAAAATGATGTGTCGTAATGATTAAATTTTCCGATTATTGACGATGATTTTTTAACGCAATGCGGAAGTGAATTACTGCAGTGTTAAAATGCGATCTGTAGCACTGGTTGCAACAAAAAAACGATGAATTTTTCCCTAAAAACTGGCGATTCGTAATTTCCGAAATATAAATGATGGTTAATAGTAACCGTGGGTAAACTGAGTGTGGAGGAAGAATTTAAACACCTTTCTCGGTCGCCAACATGTCTCATCGTTCAAACCTCTAGGCCTTTCATGATAGTCTCAAAATAAGCCATGCCCAATAACCAGGTACATGGCTTAAGGATCACATTTTTGCCTTTTCGAAAGCTACTACTCAAAGAAATATAGAATTTCAACATCAGGGTTCATCCTGAGTAAATGACAGAATAGAAAGGATGCGAACCACGTTGTGTACGTTCGCCATGCACTTTGAAATTAATGCGAGTTTTCTCATAAAACTAAAAGCATGAACCAAACTACCATGCCAATCACGATTATTATGAAATGAAACACATCTTTTACACGCATATTTTAAAGAATATCGTCGACGCCCAGTAAAACGCTCTGGGCTTATAATCGTGAATACCAAGTAAAAATATACGGATGAACTTCATACTCGGGAGGGGCTTACGATCGGGGAAGTACGGTACTTTAACGCAATTGGGCTTTCACTCTCAGAATACTGTGGTTCAAACGCATAAGACTCTACCCAAGTTTTAAAAAGCACATTGTGCATATTATAAAAGTTGAGTTTATACTAGTAGTACACAATGCTTGGCAACATGAACGGCTATGTACAATGGCGTATACGAATGCGATCAGATACTAAAATGTCATAGCTTTGAAAAGTACCCGGATGTTAAATATGCTCGTTCGTTATTTATTCCTCTCCAT